ATTGTGTTATTATTACATTAATTATAATTTATAAATAAAACTAATAACTAGCCCTATGCCCCATTACTATACTACTACTGGTACTACATATAATTATATAAATCAAGGGACAAAACAAGTCAGAAATTCACCGGACTACACGAACTACAATTATTTAATTCATTAGATTGTACTACTTTCTAATAATATTGTAAAACAGTTTCCCCTTTATTAACTTTTTATTCTTCCATAAATTATCAAAGATGAACTACAATGAATCAATGAAAATATCTTTAAAATATATTGGTAATAAGAACCATTTCCGACAACCCACTTTTTTTCGTGGGGGGTTGGTGTGTGACTTGGGTGACTTCTAGCAATTTTATTTTCTTACACCATCCAGTCAGAAAGGCATAACTTTTGTTCGTTATGGCTAATTTTAATGAATTAAAGTCATTTAACTTTGTGAATGAATGAAGCTGTATTGAGCTAAACCACTAGGTGTTTGAATTTTACATTAAAAAATAATAAGCAATCAACGTACATACCAATGAAAAAATTAAATGCATTACCTGTCACAAGATTCTAAATGCTGCAAATATGCTATTCCCATGTTTGGAAAAATATGTGCTCTACGTCACCGATAATTTAAATAATATTATTAGTAAACTGTGACATAAAATGCAAAAAATTACACCCTGGCTATGCCGTATATTATATTGCCACACAATTTTTTTCGTTATTTTCGGATATGTGCAAACTGCGTGTGCGGGCGGTATTGAGGTGCCTACTATATGTTTGTAAACTTAATTCTTCAGTTAAACTAAAATAAACTACCACAAATGACATCAGAATAGCATTGAGTCTAAAGGGACCCGGGTCCGAATAGCGGCGATGCGTTTCCGTTCTATTTTGACTAAATGCTATTGGGATGTCATTTGTGGTAGTTTATTTTAGTTAAACTTAAGAAGTAAGTTTACAAACATATAGTCCATTCAATTATCTTTCATTTAATACCAAATTTTGTCTTACAAACCCTACAATAATTTTAAAATATTTTTTAATAAACCCAAACTCTAACATCTCGGACCTGGGTCCGAATAGCCCCAGCCATATAGAAATACATTTATTTAATTTTAATTATACACAAATTAAGCATTTTGGCATAAGTAACAATAGGTACATTCTATATTTGATTTTTATATATATTTAATTTAAGTAAAGATTGTGTATTTCAGTGTGATAGTTTTGTAATTAAATATTTATTAATTAAGAAAATGGTGATTTTATTTATCCTGTCTATCCAGTATAGATATTATGTATATTATTGTCACAATATTGTGATGTTTTAATACTAGTAATACTAATATTATTTTTATTCAGAGTAAGCCAAGTATTTATTACATATCCATAAGGGAACATTATTCATTCATCAAATATAAAATTTACTTATATAAAAAAGTCTGGTAGTCTCGAGTCCTCATCACAGCCCGTCCAAATGGAATGGACAGGTGTGAATCGTAGGTACTGGTAGCACTACAAGAATAACTCTTCACAGCTTCTCCAAAAAGTGGTGGTGACATGGCTGTATTTAAAAGAAAGAAAATGCTGAGACGTTTAAGAAATGTTAACCTCAAAATTTGTATTCAAACTACTGGCTTAGCTGTTATTTTAGAAATAAAGTTATTCAATGACGAAAGCATTAAAGACTGGACTAAGCCTAAAAAGTCAAATATAATTGCTTTGAACTAAAGCAGTAAAGCTTAAAAAAGCAAGAAAGGGTATAAAAAGGAACATTTAAAAAGGGATACATGTTATTTAGAAGATAAATATAAATAAAACTATTTAAATTAGTGAAAATTGACAATGAAGTTCAGTAGCTGCCCAGCCTACAATTCATTGATTATATTATATAAAATGAGTTGAAGATAAATTATATCAATATCATTAAAGACATTATTATCGATTACTTGAAATATACAGTTGAATAGTTTGATAATTATTACAATTAAAACATATATTTAAACTAAAGTTGATTTAGTTTTGACATGGTTACTATGAATTTTATTATTAAAAATTAATAATGAAATGTCATAAAATATGTATAAATTTGTTTTCAATCATAAAATTAAAATAAATTAAATAATATAAATGAACTGGATGGCTATTAAAAATGATGGATAAATAAAGATTGCAAATACTTCTTATGTAATTAGAAGAAGAATAACAGAGAATGGCTATCACTTCCGGTTTATTTGACCTAATCGATAACTGGTTATAATATATGCTCAAATTATACCTCGTCTAGTAAATTTAAGTTCAATCTAAATTTCAAGATGTTGATTGCTTCAATTAGTTAAAAGGTTCTTACATTGGAAAGAAAAAGAATTAATTGGAAAGCTATTATGGTTTCTGAAATAAAGTGCTAGCAAACTTAACTGTTTTTCCAACGAAAGATATCTGCTTACAAGCGCTATAAGTCCAGTGAAAAAGTTTATGTTGTAATGATCGTCGTCCTTGTGAGCACAAAACAGACTTTAATATGTTCATTGTCTCTCCCTTACGTAGACAAAGGAAACTAGATCTCAATATGACCCCGTGACTTACCGGCATTGACCGGTGATTATGGTCTGTTTCCGACATCCGAAAAATTTATTGGTGCGCACCGCTTAGTGAAGTACGTATCTAAAGGGACCCAGGTCTGAAGCAAGATTACAAACATATAATATAGTAAATTCAATAATCTTTCATTTGATACCAAATTTTGTCTTACTCTTACAAACCCAACACAATAATATTTTTAATATTCGTTAATAAGCCCAACCTCTCTTTTCCTTGTCTGAATAGCCACTTTGCTCAAGTTTAGTAGGTACTTTGGTATAAACAAATTTAAAAAATTATCAAAGTGGAATAGTATAATAGAGCACAATTTAATTTAAAAAATGAAACCAAAATCAACTTTCTATCTTTAGTATTTTCTGAGCTATGAATTTTCAAAGTACGACTTTAATTTGTCCCTTTTTTAACACTGACTGCTGTTCACGTCATGAGCTATATAACTCTTGTTTTAATAATAATTTTGTGCGACTTTTATTTTCAGAATTAATGCTGTATTAAAATATAAGGTAAATGCAAAGATACGGCACCATGCTTTTCTCATGACCGTCACGACCCGCGATGCGGCCGTGTAAAAAAACTCACGTCTGCTCAAATGGGGAGGGCATATGGAGAGAAAGTGTTGGTTTAACAATTTTAACCGACAGAAATTAAAATTGGACCAAAAAATGTGTTAAAATTTAAATGAAAAAATTTTCGCCGGTTAATAACTTTTGCGGTGAGGGTAGCTACTTTATTGTATACCACTAGACATGCAGCAAGAAGCATCAATGACCTGCAGTCACTCCTTTCCTCACGTAATTTCAGCCCGTGCATGCTCCATTCCTTCAAGTAAAATGTGTGGTAAAAATCCCTAAAAATGAAGAACAATAAAAAAAACAATTGTAAAATAATGAAAACCCAACTTACAGGTTCCACCTGAAAGAATATCCGAAATCAATAAAATTAAAATACTATACCAAACCCATTTTCAAATATAGTAGAAGAATTAAAAATTTAATGACCCAACCAATGAAATTTTAAAATTATAACTAACCAAGCAATAAAGTTTTAATTCTAAACATTCCATCATCTTATCACGGAAAATTAACTCTAGAAACAACAAGGGAACTGAATCCAAAACAGAAACTTAACAAAAACACGAAATGACGTCTTGGCGCGATATCTTTACATTACCCAAAAATAATATTTATAATGTTATAAAACTATAAATAAATTGTAACTTATCTGACTTAATAGGCACTTCGGTATCGCCCGAAAACACCTGAAAAATGGGTATAATTACTTTTGTTGTGATATGGCGACCTCCACTTTTAAATTTACAGAGGGTAGCGTTGTTTCTGATTTTATTTGCAGATGTTAGTTTTGTTAGTAAATTCTACTTCGCCCTCAACTTAAAGCAGCCATGTTTGCTGTTTATTCGACACTTTTCTTTTAGAAAAAATTTGATGGTTTGACTTTGAAAATTGAAGGTAAAAAAATAGCAAACTTCACTCTTCACCCTTTTTGGTGGAAAACATACAGTTAAAATAAAAAAAATACAAGTTTTAAATGAATTCATAAATTACAACATATCCAAAATTCATGAGCTTAGGACCTGTTTGTGGTATGTTTATATTTTTGTGAAAACTTAGCACACCTAAAAACCTAATCTTATGGCAATAAATCAAAACCATAATTAAATTAGTTTGAAATAGTTTTAAATCTAGTGGTATATAAATCTTATTATTGCTATGTTCTTCACTGAACAACCAGCCAGATTGTAAATGTACCTATTGAGGGAGAACAAAATGGCAGAAAACCAAGAATATTTAATTGTTAAATGAGTAGATACTGACAGGGCTATACTATGTTTTTGGCCCTATTAAATTCTATAATTCAATACAGTCTTGTATGGTACTCCTTATTTTTAAATCCTTATTATTAAATTTGCTTTTTTTTGTGGCTGGCAAGATCTTTGGAGGGCTAATTGACCTACTTCCCGTCAAGGGATTGAGCTGAAAATTGGCACATAGACTCATTACCGATGACAAAACATTCTGTCAAATTTCCAGCCCTCACAACCCCCAAAAATCAATTTTTTCTGTTTTTCTAGTTGAATGTGAAGGAACATATGAAATAAAATTTCCGATAATTGCGCTAAATGAGATTCTTTAAAAAAGTATATTGCCAGTGCCTTTGGTGCATAATATTTTCTTTTGTTTTTCTGAAATAGTTTGTGAAATAAATCTGGGGTGTAAAAGTGGGTGGGACATTACATAAGAATATTAATATAATTCAGGGGCATGAAAAAGTGTGTGTTTTTTTTGTACTTAACCATGTTATGAATAATATGATAAATCCCAAACATACTTTATGCTTACTATACTTTAAAGTTTCATGTTATTTCTTTTTTATTCTTTTAAGGCATACACATGCTCAAGATGTAATAGTGGTTTTATTGAAGAATTAGAAAGGTGAGTTATAATTCTAAGGCTATTTAATCTTAAATGTAACATTCCAGTTTATTATTATTAAGGTGGTTTTATATAGCGCAGTACCCCAGCCTAGGGCAATGGCAGAAAATTATACATTTTAAAAGAATTGTTGAAAAGCTTGACCTCACCCACCCAAGTACTATCTACCCCTGTCTAGCCATGGACAGCACCCAGCAGCATCGAGCGTTGTTTATCTTTTTTGAGGTATAGTACAGTTTGAAGAGATGGTTCTTCAGGGCAGTTTTGAAGGCTGGGATGGTCATTATATTGCAGATGTTTAATGGGAGAGAATTCCGTTGTTTTGGAACGAAGGTTTCAAAGGGGTGAATCGACAGAAAGAAGTTCAGTAAGAGAGCGGAAACCAGAGAAAAAGTTGTAACAGAGCACAGACAGCATGTAATCAGTGTGTGGCAGTATAGGGAGCCAGTGAAGTAGTGGAGTGATGTGATCACGTTTCTTTGCCTTTAGAACTAACCTACCAGCTGAGTTATGAGCTTTCTGCAGTTTTTCTATGAAATGTTTTGGTGAACCTGACAGAAGAGGGTTACAATAGTCAAGACCAGAGAGAACAAGAGCACAGACTGGTGTTTTTATTGCGCTAGGTAGTGGCGGATGGAGCTGATCTGACGGATAGCGGTGTATGCAGAGGGACTGATGTGAGAAATATGATTATTGAGAGACATGTCAGAAAGAATGTAACGATTCCTAGCAATTGATCAAAATAAATGTATAAATTTAACTTGAGAAGGGGAGGGATACATATTCTTTCCATTAATCAAAAATAAATATTTTTGACATTTTTCTTAATAGTAGAGCTCCGCCAACTTCATCTACAGATGCTCGTAGCTCAGATCCTGGTGCATCATTTGCTGAGGTAATTCAGTTCCTATTAATATACAATCTATTTTTAATATGGTCAATTTCCTTTTTAAAAAAAGATGGAGTTATGATTAAAAATGAATCATGTTACAATATTTTTTTTATCCATTTGCTGTCTTTTTCCCCCCTTAACGTGAAGCAAGGTTATAAAATAGAAAACTCAATATCTTTTATGATATTTATTTCAATATAGAAGTCTGTGTTATAAGAGCTAGCATAATTAACAGATGGGTTATAAATTATTACCTCTAAATTGCTACCAAATTCATTTTTAAAAACTTTGCTGTAAAATAATAAAAGTGTGAAGAGAATCTCATTTTTTTAAAAAGGCCTTTTTCATATAAAAGTTGTGGAATATACATTTAGGAAGGAAGTAAACATGTTAGAATGCTTCACAACAAAGGGGAGAGTATTCATGAATTTTACTTGTTTCTTTGTCATATAAACGCTTATCTGCATTGTGTGGATATTAAGTGTTAAAGAACTAATAGCGCGCTGAATATAGCTTTAAAAAAATTATTCTCAGGTGTTTCCAGCTTTCTTTGGGCATACTGGTACCCATAGACACAGATACAACACTCGATCTGCTATTCGAAACAGTGAATCAGATATGGATCAGAGTGATGAGGAAGAAATGAGAGGTATAGGTCCCAGTGCTGTGTTTCACTTTAATGCAGACCCAACTCCAACTTTACCTAGGTAATTTTTCATATTATTTGATAATTGCTTGTATTAAGGATCACAATGGATTTGTCAAATTATTTGTTCAAAGTATCCTTGTCAGTGTATTTTGTCAAGCTCATGATTGAAAGAAGTTTTTAATTATCTTTGCCTCGGGAAACCTGAAACAGTGAATCAGATATGGATGTCAGTGATGAAGAAGAAATGAGAAGTATAGGCCCCAGTGGTGTGTTTCAGTTTAGAATAATACAGGCCAAACTCCAACTTTACCTAGGTAATTTTAACATTCTTTAATGAATATCCTATACATTATAAATGCTTGCATTAAAGATTACAATAGAATTTTGAATTATTAAATAATTTCTTGATCAGATGAGACTTTTTTAAAAGGTTTAATTTAGTCTTTCCTACTAGATAAGAACTCAAATCAGTGAGGCTCAAAAATTTGTTTAAATCAGACATTATTTCTGTTCTAACATTTCCCAATGTAACTTATAACTTAAGAGCCGTCACAGATGCAAACTGTCTGAAGTCAAAACCACATACACCACTCCCAAATCCTGAACAAAATCATTAACACTGTCAGTGTGGAATATTCTGCATTTTTGGGTTACTTTTCAATATAAGTAATTAATTTTATGTTAACAAGCATTTCTAAAAATATATGTCTAGATTTGTTATGGATCCCAAGCAACAAGTGCCTGTGTTTTTCAGGTGTTAAGAGTATTCATGGATTGAGATTTATTGCAATGATTACAATCAGATTTTATGCTTTGAAAATTTACTTCATTATTATTGTAAAATTTTAACAAACACTTTATTACAATTTTCAGTATGAAATAATATTTAAACTGTACTCTTGGTGGTTTCAAATTCTTTAACATCCATCCATCCATCACTGTGGCGCTACAGCCCATGTAGGGCTTTAGCCTGCCTCACCACTTCCTTCCAGTCAGACCTAACTAATGCCTTTCTTTTCAATGCTTGGACTTTCAGCTGCTGTAGATCTTTTTCCACATCATCCATCCACCTAAGTCTAGGTCTGCCTTTGAGCCTTTTTTCTCTGGGGTATTGGTGATGCACCCTATTTGTTCCTCTGTCATTTGGCATTCTCTCTAGGTGTCCTGCCCAGCGTAGCCTGCCTCTTTTTATTTCTGCTACTATCCTGATAAAGACTGTATAATTCATGGTTGGTTCATATTCTCCATTCAAATTCATCCTTTGTTGGCCCATATATTTTCCTGAGAACTTTACTCTCCCATGTGTTTAAAGGTTTTCTGCTGTTTTTGTTAGGGTCCAAGTTTTACTTGCATATGTTACAACTGGTCTGATCACAGTTTTATAAATAGTTTTCTTTGTTACTCTTGTGATGTTTTTGCTTTTGAGTATTTTCTGACTACTGAAGTATGCCCTGTTTCCAGCTGATATTCTTTCTTTCATTTCTGTTAGTAATTCATTTCTTTCATTTAACAAGGATCCTAGGTATTTGAATTGATTTACTTTTTCAAAAGTCTGGTTTCTAATTTTAATTTCTTTGTCTGTTTGTTCTTCTCTTATCATGGTCATGTATTTTTTTTTGTTGTTGTTAACTTCCAGCCCTGCTTGTAGAGATGCGTATTCTAATTCAATAAAGGATTTTGATATGTCTTTAATACTTTTCACTAGAAGTTCTATGTCATCAGCATATGCAAGATACTGAAGTGGTTGGTTGTAAAGTGTGCCCGTTGGTTGTGGGTCCTGAGTTTCCCTCAGGAAGTATCCTGTTATTGTTCCTCAAGTGTCAATGTGTATGTTTCTAATAACTCTCTCTAATGTTAGGTTAAAAAGCATACAAGATAGTGAGTCTCCCTGTCGTAGGCCTCGTCTAATATGAAATTCTCTTGAATATTCTCCTTGAATCTTGATTTTGCTTTTTGAGTTAAGTTTTACATGTATTAGTCTTGTCAGTTTGTTGGGTATCCCAAACTCCTGCAAAGTCTCATATAGACAGTTTCTTTTGATTCTATCATATGCCATTTTATAGTCCACATAGAGTTGATGTACTGGTATATTATGTTCATAGCATTTCTCTAATAGGCATCTGATAGTAAAAATCTGATCAGTCGTTGATCTGTTAGGCCTGAATCCACATTGGTAATCACCTAGTATTTCTCAAATTCTCTAACAGTGCCTCTTATATTTTTCATTGTGATGGACGAGCAGGAATGAATCAACATTGCAATAGTGCCCAATTTTTTTATAATTGTTCTTTTCTTTTTTTTTTCCATTAATTTTTCAACTTTTTGCGGACCAGCTATTAAGGCTTGGAGACTTGTGGTGCTCAGAAGACCACAACTTAGAGAAGAATTCTTCAAAGTTTAAACTCAGTAATACTAAGTGATCAGAATAATTTAATTATTTAAAACAAGAAAATTCTATAACTATATTAAAAGCATTTACAAATTTTCGAAATCAAAATTGAATGACTGTAATAAGGAAAAATAATCGTACACAAATATATTAAAAAGAAAATCCATAAATAATATAATTCTTATTCAGGTTTACATTAAAATTTTGGTAAAAAAGTGAGATTTATGACAAAAAGTTGAAAAGGGGCTATAATAAAGCTACTCATAAATGCACCTATGCTAAGTTCAATGTGTTTTATTTTTTATTTTATGCAGTCTTATTTTTATTCTCAAAACATTGACATTTTGTTTTAAGCCTCTGCAGGTACGATCTTTCAAGACATGATTGGTCATTATCTACAAAGTTGAATTATCTCTGTTTTTTTTTAAATTGCGCCATGTTTTTAATAAGCTTCTGAAATATTCCCTTAATTATCTATTTTTTGTTCTTTAACAGTATTATCAATTATGTGATACAACGTCTGGGCACAGATTTAGGAGCTCGAAATCCTGTGTAAGTTATTATTTTCAATAAGTCTTTTTTTAGCTGTTAACCTGGAATTAAAAAATACTTGTAAAATTTACCGTATATACTTGCAGATATAGGTCATACTAGTGGATAGGTCACTCTTAGTTTTTGGTTGCCAAAGTGGCTATTTGCAGATAGGTTGGGCCCTTAGTTTGGGGAGTTACATTGCCATAAACATTTTGAACATAAATATAAAACTATTTGTAAACAGATGTAACAAAAATGTTTCCATATCACATGAAAACTGATAAGCAATTGTCATAAACTATGTGATCTATTGGAAACAGTTTTGTCTCTATCGTGTGTAAATGAGCGCAAGGGAGAAAACCATTCTTCATCTTTTTGTATTAGCTAGTACTCAACACTGAATAACACTGAAAAACAATTCGAGTGGATAGGTCGCAACCCTTTTATTTGATTTTATCTAAATTTTTGGTTTAAAAAGTGAGACCTCAATGCAAGTATATACGGCAGCTTTCTCAACATTTAAACAAAATACTTTATAAAATTTTTAAATTGACTACTCACTAATACTGATAGTTTCACTAGTAACTGATCCTACCACACTCAGTATCCATATCAGCTTACCCATGTTAAAAACCAGTTGTGACTGGATTTTTTTAAATGAGGAAGAGTGGTCAACTTGTTATTCCAAGTGTTTATGGTGTGATAGATATTAAAAAGTTAGCAGATCGCAGGCTCCCATAAATGTGTCTCCCCCCAATGAAAGAAAACTACAATTTAAAGAAATTGAGAGACATAGAAAAATTAGCTGTTTAAAGTATTTGAAGTGGACCAAAATGGGTCCCCCCCTCTCCTAGGGTTAGCAGTCCAGTGGCCATTACTTCCCCTATCCCCTGTGGATAGTATGGTCTTATAAAATATCATGATGATGATCTCACATGGCTGTGACTGCAAGGAACAGTTTTGAATGCAGTGCAAATAGTTGAAATAAGGGGCAAAGGTTTGGGAACTCAGCAAGACCCCCGTAAGACAAAATGATCTTAAGTCAACAATTTTAAAATGTTCTACCCTTTTGTAACTCACTTTTAAGGATTGCTTTTCTAAAATTTTACAGAATTTTACATGGAAATCCTGGAGATTATGCATGGGGTGCAGGTGGATTAGATGCTATCATATCTCAGGTAAACAAGCTCTATTCTTTTTAAGTATTGAGTAGAAAGAGTTCAAGAGCTTGTACCAAATATTTAGCCACAAGAATAATTGAATTATCATTCTCCTTCTTCTATTAGAATTCTCTGCTCTTGGATCAGCTAATGTACTACATCATAAAGTAACATGCAATCAACTACACTGCAAATTTCTTACATAAGACATTTAAAAAGTTATACATTATGTTATTCTTTTATTATTATTGCTCACACCGAATATTGCTTCTATTTTAAGTGCTGAATGGTTAGATGAGGATCAGTGCCGAAAGTTGAAAAAGATAAATCAGCTTTTATAGACTATGCCCACCAGGGGAGTCATTTCAGTTTTTTTTAAAGGAGGTGGGGGTGCAAAACAAAACGTGGTCGGCTTGTTAAGTTGTTTATTACTGGAGGCGCCACAGTACATAGCAATTTAATTAAACCTATTAATGTAGTACAAATATAGGGGTGGGGGCAAAATGCCCCCCTGCCCTACCCAAATGATGTCCCTGATGCCCATTGTTACGATAGAGCAAACCTGGCTACCGGTACTCCTTGGGAAGATGATAGCAGTTAGAAACTATACTAACAATAATCATAGTTATACCACAAACAATGATACTTAGTCTTTAACAACCTTTCAATTGATTCTGCATATAAAATTTAAGTGTAAAAACTTTTTAACATGTTAACAAGCTAAAGATGTAATGAAATGTTTTTCCTACAATTTTGTGTCATTAAAATAGATCAGCACAAATTAAAATGTAATTATAAATTCATTTATAATATAATACCCTTTTTTTTTTGTGAGGTGGGGGGTGTGTCAGAAAATGTTGACATAATTAAACAAGGGGGTAATTGAAAGTTTGACAGTTGTTGACAAGAGGGGGAGGGGGTACAAAATTGCGTAAAAATTGTTGATGTAATTAATGGACGACCCTTTGGGTGTCCCCCCTAAAATGGTGTCACCTGGTGCGGTCCGCAAATCCTGCACCCCCCTAGCTACGCCACTGATCCGATCACTCATTAGTCGAAAGAGCCAAAAATTACCAGCACGATTAATAAATTTTTTAGAGCCAAATTTCTTTTCAAAAACCTGTCAAGACCCATGTTTTTCGAAGTCAAAAACGATTTATGGCCGGCTGGCCACGCCGCACTCGGGTCGCTAAAGAGCCGCATGCTGAGATTTGCCAACCAAAAATAGCACTTTCTGGAACATTCTAGATTAAATTAAATATCCTCGAAATGTGTAAAAACATGTCTTTTCTAAGTAATTGTTATTCGAATACGAAAAATTCTTCAACTAAATGCACTACTATAACTATAGTACATTTGAGTCGAAAGAGAGCCCCCAGTGGAGGCCCATTCCATAACTGTATTGAATATGTTTTGTCTGAGATGGTGGGGGGGGGGGATAAAAAATTCATTTGGATAAATTATTGAGTTAAAATTTGTGCCATAAAATCTATTTAATAATGCCATAGATAACTATCATAGTATTCATAGATATAGCTTTTTTTAAGTTACCAAATTTTCTAGAAAATTCTAGACCAGCCCTGAATGGATTGGATATTATTAATTTTAAATCTCCCTATATTTCAATAAATAAAGACAATGTAGAGTATTGCTACAAAGCTAGGCCTATATCAATCAATTCACATAGAACCTATAGTGTTTTCTAAGGCTATTGATATAACTTACATAAGGAACAATGAAATGAGGCCCCCGGCCCCATAGGATTGGGTATTATGAGTTCAGTACCCTTCGGTACTTGAATATGGATAATCAAGTGTATGTGTACTAAGTTTGGTCAAGATCCATCTATTCATGTAAGAGTATTTGTTGTTAATTTTATTTATATAGCTCATATAAGAAAAATATTTAAAAAATTGGAATGTTATAAAAAGTTCATAACCCCGCAAGAGTTCCTTCCGAATAATGATGGATACGTGTGCCAAGTTTGGTTAAGAGCCATAAAAACCAAAGCTTTGACTTTGAACTAACATTATACAAATATATTTGATTTATATTAAATTAGGGCTCTGAGGATTTCGGGGGGGGGGGGTGGGGGGGCGGGGCGAGCGAATCAAACCCAGTTTTCTAGAGTAGACTGAAATCTGAACAAATTTAAAGTTAAAAGGAAAAAAAATCTTAAAAGTATCTTTATACGGTACTGCCGGTACTGATTACAGCGTACACAATATTTTTATGGGTTGTCCATCAAATAGTAATCCTTTATTTTTGTATCCGTGATGTTGTGACATATAATTTAAATTTAGGATATTTAAAACCAGTTTCCTAACATTTTCTATATTCTGCACCCTGTAAAGAATGTTTAACTATCTCACACCCCCTACAAAAGTAAGATGCATTTTAAAATTGAAACAAAAATTAACTTCTAAATTTTTAATAGCTTAAAATAAAATATTAATTTATCTAAACTTAAAATTAAAAAATCATTTTGTGTGAAAAGTGAGTGTTGTGGAAATGTGTTACCTCCTTATATCTGATTAATTCTTAGTCTTTCATTTATTATCTGACATCCCATTAAGGGTTAGGATGACAACATAAAAAACACCAATGATACTGAAGTAAAACAACAAATTCTCTGTTTTGGTCTAGCGTAATTTAATGAAAAAATACAGCCAACTTGTTTAGCTTAATTGTTAACATAATAGCTGCTTTGCCCTATATTTTGCAATTTAAATACGATTTTAAGAGGGATTAAGTATGAAAACAATTTGACTGGTTAGTGGGGTCGCATTTATCCATATTTGAGGTTCTTTATAATTGTGTGAATATGATCTTTCTTTAATACTTTCTCTTTGCTTTATAACAGCTTTTAAATCATTTGGAGGGCACTGGTGCACCACCAGCACAAAAAGAGAAAATAGAAAATTTAGAAAAAGTTCGAATTGACAAGACCCATGTTGGTAAGTAACTTTTCTGCTGTCAGATTTGTTTTGAGCACAGAGCTTATAAATTAATAAAAATTGAAAAAGCATATTTCCTTTTTTTTTATAATTTATACATTTCTAGTGACATCACAAAGTAATGATGTGTTATAATATTTATTTTCCTTATTAATAAGATTCTATTGGCTTGCTAAATGAAAGAAGTTTACCGGTATGTTAGATTTATATAAACTCTACATTTAACTTCTAAAATTATTTTTAGCTGCCAAGTTAGATTCTAGGTCTTCAGAAAATTTTTAGAGACTTGACCCAAAAGCTCCAAGCATGGTACAAAGTCATCCATATTAAGAGAGAAATGAAAAAATCTATATTTTATCACATCGAATTACAAAACGCAACATTACAAAAACTATATACGAGAATAACCATTCTATGTCTTTCATCTCTTGCAACTATAAACAACACAGGCCACTATGCATCTAGGAGATAATAACTAGCTGGAAAAGGTGGTAGACAACATCACCCCAGCAGGTGTTTGCGAAATAGATATGTTTTCAAATCGGTTTTGAAAGGCTCCAGTGTCTGGCTGTTTCTGAGAGCGGCAGGAAGTGTGTTCCATTAAGTTAAAATGCTGATAGCTCACAAAGTTATTTTATGCATGGATATAAGGATCTTTAACAGTTATTTTTCATACCGGAACTGTAACTAATTTGTTTAACCTGTCACCAGAAAATACACTTCAGTGTTCCATATGTATGGATGACTTTGAGCTGGATGTGGAAGTGAGAAAACTTCCCTGTGATCATATGTACCATTCAGAGTGTATTATCAAGTGGTTAGAAATGGCAAGTGTATTAAGTAGTTTCAATATTTTGTTTAATTAATGGTTTCTTATATAAATAATTAAAACTTAAAAAACTTCTTTTAAGGAGACTTGGATATTTACACAGACCTGTTTACTCTTACGATTTTGGCGTACAATGTACGATTTTTAGATGTCTTTTACGATTGTACGCCAAGACCTTCCAAAACTATGATTTTCAGAGACCCAGTGGAAAATTTTTTCCCGATTTAAAAAAATGAATAAATTTTCGGGTTTGGACGTTTTAGCCCTCTCTAATGAAGATCTGGCAGTGAATATGAACGAGAAAAATGATTGGTTGTATTTTTTTTTTTTTTAAAGTTGGGACCATCCTTATTATATTTCGAAAGTACTTGTGGGGAGGTGGGGTTGTTGATTACGGAAATTGTGGCATACGAGACACGCATGGGTAGGGTATTGGTGGGAGTGTCAAAGGATATAAATAAATAACCGCGACGCATCGTATTGATGGAATCGACGGTGATTTGTCGTATTGCTGCTTTGTGTGGTCACAGTCACAGGGAACTAGCTGGCTGCGTCAAAAGTAATATTTAGACTTGTCGCCCTAGCGACAACTTCACTCACCATCGCCTTTGACGGCTACCAAGCGTGTGACGTAGTTTTGTTATATAATTATTTTGTTCCTCAGAACCGCGGCGATTGTAAAAATTGAGATGGTTTTTAAAATAAAATAGATTATCCAACTGTTCTGCAGTGGAGCGTTGGATTTTGGCATACCAGTATTTTATAAGATCCAGTCAGCGACATTTACAATCAACGATTTTAATACAACAGTTTAGTATCACTACCAGGGTTTCTTTCAGCTATATCTCGGGGGGGGGGGGGCTGCCTCTCTCCCGGGTTAAGCCAAGTGCATCGGGGCGGGGGGGGGGGGGGGGGATTTCTGAAAAAATCACTGATCCCACCACCACCCACTCCCCCCCCCCCCCCCCCCCCCCCCCCCAGTAGTTAGACTATAACAGTGGTCGGCAAAGCGCGACTCGCGAGCCGCATGCGGCTCTTTAGCGATCTGAGTGCTGCTCGGTCAGCCGGCCAAAAACATGGTTTTGACTCCCAAAAACATGGTTTTTGGCAGGCTCTTGAAAAAAAAATTTGGCTCTCAAACAAATTTTAATTGCTCTGCTGGTGTTTTTTTTTTTTGTGTGCGCTTTTGACTAATGAGTTTGCCCACCACTGGACTAAACCGTGTTCACGGAAAAAATCAAGCGCCTTTTGGGTGGGCGACGGCACAGTTTTTCCCCCGTAATGAGGGTGGGGGATGGTTGGAAACAATTACGTCACAGCACGGAAAGACGTGTTGTCACCATATTACTGCTATAGTGATTTCTTGATGAAAACACAAAGCATTAGTAAACGATAACTGCGAAACACTGGTGATGTTTATAGCCTTAATGATTAATAATGGGCCTAATTGGAATTTATGGCCTTCACAGATTTTCAGGTGACAGTTGGCTCCATAAGAGACTGTCAGGATAATCATTGAAGAAATCATGCATAAATGTAGGTGCATTGTGGCCCCCCCCCCCCCCCTTTCCCTTCAAAGCTCCATTTTTTTTTTTTTTTTTTGTGCTCTTTTGACTGAGTTTGCCCACCACTGGAACACATCAGGCGCCTTTGGGGTAGGCGACGGCACAGTTTTTTCCCCTTAATGGGGGTGGGGGATGGTTGGAAACAATTACGTCACAGCACGGAAAGACGTGTTGTCACCACATTACTGCTACAGTGATTTCTTGATGAAAACACAAAGCATTAGTAAACGATAACTCAGAAACACTGTGGTGATGTTTTTTAGCCTTAATAATAATAATTAATAATGGGCCTAATTGGAATTCATGGCCTCCACATATTTTCAGGTGACAGTTGGCTCCATAAGAGACTGTCAGGATAATCATTGCAGAATTCATGCATAGATGTAGGTTCAGTCTGCCCCCCCCCCTCCCATCATAGCTGCCATGCGCATCCTCAGCGTGGACGTAGTAGTTGGATAGCCTTACGTTGACAAGGTGGGGAGGGGGGTTATATTTTTTATATTTCATTTTGCCTACCAAGTATGTTATATATGGATGTCCCATTGTCCCAACAGCCCTGGCGTACGAAGTGGGCTCCATAGACGGATGTGCACATTGCGGTAGTTTAATGTTACCGGCGAGCTTTTTTGTTTTCGTTACCGTAGTTGAGCATGCACAATATATTACGATATGGCATCGATAGAATGAAAGGCACGCGAAACCGATGATGAAGAAGGAACTTCAACTGAACATCAGATTCAGCAAAAAAATATATAAGGGTCCATCAGACGTAAACAGCACAGTCTGACTTTTCATTAGCAATCAATCAGAGATAAAAGGAGTGGTGTTGATTTAAGAGATTGTGTGCATGGAGCCGGTCTAAGTATTTCAATTTATATACTCAACACCGCCAGATTTTCGTAATGACAGTTCGGGTGTGTGTGTGGGGGGGGGGGTGTCCTCGGCAGAAAGTATGTGCGTTATTAAAAAAATCCTGCAACATTCATCCCGAAACTCTGGAAGTCCAAAAATAACATTTCTATCTCGAATGGTGTAAAATACCAGCCAATGTGTAGTAGGAATTAGAGCCGTGATGTTGTCAAGGGGTATGTTCACAAATCAACTGGCGAGCTATACTCAATAGTGGAAGAATTTCAGTACGGTGTTAAGTCTACCGAATGTTCAAAGCGCGCATGACGTATATTCCGTTGGGCTACGCCAGTGGTTCTAAAATATTTGTTTGCCGGCGCCTATGCAATATTAGGTCTTCACCAGGCGCCTTGTGTGACATTCTAACAAGTGCACTTGGACATAGCGAATTCCAAAATAAAATAAAGGGTGGTATAAAAATAAATATAACACGTATGTAGGTCACTGAGCGCCATCTGTAGCTACAAACAGTAGATACTCAACTGGGTAACTGGACCGAAAGATGTCACATTGGATTAAAAGTAAAAATAAAATTATGAAATTTTTTAAATATTTCGCAACGCCCCTGTGAGGAAGCCGCAGCAGCCCATTTAGAAAATTTTCACCCCCCATTAAAAGGACAATTTATTGCGCCCTTAATCTTTGTGTAAATGGTTTTTTTATAGTTGAATTGACTGTTTAAGTTCCTTTCTATAGACGATTTTCACACGGTTGCTCTTCGTTACATTCTCATGGCCCTGCCCAAGGGCAGTGAGCACCCAGGGCGATGTAGTCCGATGAAGCATATATTATGTGAACCACTGGGCTGGCCGAATCACCAGTGGTGAAAACCCGTGTCACATTTTGTTTACTGTAACATAATATGTAATGGACTTTGCTAATTTTTTATTATTGTAATTGAGGGAAAAGAGGGGGGGGGGGTCGTAAAAACTTCTGCGTGCAACGGAAGGGGGGGGGGAGGGTTTACATAATTAGACTTTATTGCGTTACTGTAGTTTTATTTATTTACTATTGAGTTATTGTATTGTACGATTTTAGTCACATTTTGTTTACTGTAACATAATATGTAATGGACTTTGCTAATTTTTTATTATTGTAATTGAGGGAAAAGAGGGGGGGGGGGTCGTAAGAACTTCTGCGTGCAACGGAAGGGGGGGTGGAGGGTTTACATAATTAGACTTTATTGCGTTACTGTAGTTTTATTTATTTACTATTGAGATATTGTATTGTACGATTTTCAGACCAGATTGTACGATTTTAGGGGTTTGAGGGTAAACAGGTCTGTTTACAATGAAATTTTTAATTTCATGTTTTACAGCATGGAACATGCCCTGTGTGTAGAAAAGACCTGAATGGCCTAGATACTTCCAGAAATGAAGATGCTGTTGACACAACTATGTATTCTCCATCAACTGACGAGGGTAGTGGAGGTCATCATGGTGCTCCATCTTCTTCCTCTTCTTCCACTTCCAATGGACCTTCAACTTCTTCATCTTTCTTGTAAGCAAACCATCAAGTTATCAGAAGTATGGAGATGCTATTTATACAAAATTCAACTATTCTTAAATCAACAATTCTTTTGTTTTCATAGCTATTCTTAAAATAGGGAAAAGCAGTTTATTTGATTATGTAAATTTTTTATGAGTTTTTCATAGTAATGTTTTATGAACAAGAATTGACTCCATAGGCATTTCCGTTTTTTCTTTAGGAAGAATTTTTTTAAAAATAGAGTAATTGAAGGTTGTAATTTAAATTGTCATTTAGTTTATCATGTATATTTGTTTGTTTAATAAAAAAGCTTCCTGAAAAGTTCTGACCATTCTATAATGGCAAGGAACACATTTTTTTGGCTCAAATAAGAGCTGTCTCTTTATTATGTAATTTTTAATCAAAGGTTATGCCATGCTCCAAATCTTAGCCTTACAATCGTTATGTGATTTTTTAAAATAAAAGTCCCAATGAGATGATTGATTGTCATTAATTAACATTCTAACACTCATCTAATCCTTTTACAAACAACACAAAATGTATAAAAATACATTTTCCAATATAGTATATTATTGTTAGCTCATAATAAGTTGAGGTTATTTGTCTAAATTCTCAATACTGTTAACATTCATGAGGATTCTCATATACCCTGTGGCTTTAAAGAACCATTTCCCTCTCTAATAGATATTTTGCATATTCTCAAAAACCTGAAATTCTTCAACTTAAAAAAAAAATATGTTAATTTCTTCAGTCTCAACTAATAAGATATTAATTAACATATTTTTTATGTATTCTACCAATAGAACCTGATGTACACTATTTATAGAATTCATGAATATGAATCAAGACTTCTTCTGTGACTAGTTTATTTTGTTTTAAATTGATTTTTATGCATTGAATATATTTTCTAGTGATGTATTAAAAGTAAACACATTTTTCTTTCAATCCTAGTTTGCTGATATAATATTTTCATTTAAATTGGCTTCAACCTTATATCTAATAATGTACAGTAAATTTTATTTGTTTCTATAGATACACATAGGTAGTTCAGCATTTTTAAAATACAAAAATCACAAATTGGGCTCAAGCAAGGTTGAAACAGTCTTCTTTTTTTCCAATTTTAATATTAATAATACAGTTTAATATAGCCTTAAGTATGCATACATAATGCATCAACTGCCAAATTAATAACATCAACAATTTTAAATAATTAGAATCAATCTCAAAAATCCATTGAACAAAATAATTTTAATTAAGTAATTGTTTTAAAAAGTTGGGTCAGAATATTAAAATATGAACACAAAGTCATCAATTATTAATTTTTTTATAGAAATGATTTCAAATAAGATAAACCTAAACTTTGTATGTTCATACTGAAAACAAGTGCAACAATTGTTAATTAATTAATTGCTCTTTCCAATCGACTGTCAATAAATTAAACGAAAGCTTTTTCTTTACTATTTCATCTAGAAATTTTACCATTTCAGAGACAGAAAGCAGTGTAACAAAATATTTTAATATGACGCTAGTGAGGCAAATAATTGGCCCATATTTGGCCAATGCCCATGTAAAGCCGTGTTTTTTCATAACCAGTAATTATAGTCAAAGACCTCCATTGAAACAAAAAAATCTGAAAAAAATTTAAGATGACTTCATTTTTTTTTTTTTTTGCAAGACCCTATCAAGGCCTACCTCTTTTTAAGGAATCTGCTTCATACCCATGGAAAAGCTTTGGGAAGTATACAGTACTGAGTATCCCCGGTGCCAGTGAGAACTGAAAATGATACCAGGATTACCCATCTACACTTAAACTTACACACAAAATGGCAACAGATACCTATCCTAGTTTTCATATTAACAGAAAAAAAATTTAGATGTAAAACTTCCCTGAAATGCTACCAAAACAGTCTCTATTATAAGATTTTAGCCTTGAAGTTGAAGTTATTTCATATATGTAAAATTCAAGGTTAGTTTGCAAAAACAACTGTTTTTGTTATTACCAACCACTGGGAAATTTTAATAACTCCTCAAATATTATATACCGGTATATAAAATGTTGCATTGAAAACTTGCATGGAAGTGGGGAAATAGGTTTAATGATGACTTCTATGAAACAGTAATGGAAAATGTAACCAAAATACAGATGAAGAAACGGTAGAGACTCATTTGGGGGGCCACCAAAAATAAATAAATTTATAATGATACTGCTCACTCCAATAGTCGCTATGGTGTCAAACCCTACTGATGGTGTAACCTTGTACAGTCCTGACCCACTGCATCAACCTTGTATAATGCCACTGAAACTTTGAAGTTGAAGAAAAATACATTTTATCAATTTGGCTTTTCAAAGATATTCTACTAATACTGCTGGTCATTTGATGTATATATGGACAGTTGAGTGTTTCATGCTTTAGACAAATGAATAGATTTAGGGTTCATCCATATAATTTGCACTAGTTCAAAGAGGGTTGAGGGAGTTGATTAGATGTGGAGATGTTGAGTATGGATCGGATCCTTTTTAGAAGGGGTGAAGCACCTTGTCAAATATTTTCACATGCAAGAATTATGACTTTACTTGTTGAAAAACCATATCGGAAATCTCCCACTGGTGTAATTTTTCTTTGTTCCAACAGATATCAACATTTAAAAGTTCTCTGAGGTGTTGTTTCCTATATTTATTCATAAACAATTGAAATTTTTTATCTTCTTCTGGTATTATAGTTGTTTTTTTAAAATACTAATTAGACATTTTCTATAGAAAAATATGTTGTTCTCAGATTCTTCATATTAAAATGAATTGTGGGGTAAGAAGTTAATTTATATTCATAGGAAGTGTATTAATATTTACAGAGTGCATTTTATGGGGGTATGGCTACAGGATTTTTTGCTCAAGTAATATATGGATTATAATGGATGGCTCTTTGAAACAGTTTTAATGACATGTCATTGTGAAACATTTTATGACCTCTCATAATCTTAAATATAATGCACAATTACTAGAAATAAATCAGAACTGTATATAACTAAATTTATATGTATGAATCATTGCAGAAGTTATCCAATTTACAGGTTTGCATTCAGCAAATGAAAAATTGTATTTGCAAGCTCACAAATTTAGTCTCATTTATAGTTAACAAATTACTTGTTCATGGCTAATAGATCTAAAATAAAAGTCCTACAATTGTTTTGCACTTTCTTTAGTTAATTTAAATAAGGGTCTGAATTTACTGGTAACAAAAATTAAGCAAGTATTCTCAGCAAACCAAAGCTACTAATAAAATTTTAACATTGTAATTTTAATGACAATCGAAATAATTGTTGCTTATTTAAGAATTAAGAAAGCAAATAAAATGCTATAAATTACAAAATTATTTTTAGTATCTAGTTACACAAGTATTAAAACTTATAACTGCATTAAAATGACTGATTGGTGAATGATGCACCACCTCTGGAACTTGAAAAAAAAAACTCTTGTATTTATATCCCATAACCAACTTATAGAGTATAATACATGTAACCGTAACAAAAATATGGGAAATTTTATCACTAATATTTCATGTTCCTTCCAAACCAAAAGAAAATAAAATTTAATATGTTAACAGTTACAGACTACTTAACATTTAAAAGAAAAATGACTTATTTTTATTTTAAAATTAAAAGACATTTAATGGAGAAATAAAAATAGCCATTTCCGGGCTGATGCAGGCAATTTCTTGGTGAGAAACACTATTATGATATGATCCTGTAAAAAATAATTTTATCAGAAAAGCTGAACAATGTAAGTGTTTCTCAGTGTAATTTGTCATAATTATGATTATGTACTGGTATAGAAAGAATACATTAAATACTGCAACTAATTTGTGTGAGATATCATCAAATTAAACTTCTAAAATATAAATATAATCTACACATTGATTAATAAGCTTAAGATACCATACTAATTGCAAATGACTTGAAATTTTGAATGTGTGTTATGTTAAGCTATCTGCTCAGTGGACTATTAAATTCCTCCAATTGTGGTACTCAGATCAATTCAAGAAGAGGTAGTTGTTTTTATTTGTATAACTATATAAATGTATATCCTATTGTCATAGTTACTGTTTCTTACATTCTTGAAAGTAAATTTAAATGGAACAAACACACAGAGATGAATAGGTGTCCAAAAAATTAAGAGTTATAACTGTAAAGTCGATTAAAAGTATATTCATTGTTCTCATGTAATAAAATAACAGCTGTGCATGCCAAAAACTGTTGTCATTTATTTTTTGTGATAAATTATATGTATTTGAATTTGTAATATAAAGCCTGCCGTGTAAATACCATTATATTACTAATATTAGGTTTACCCAGCTAAAACTAAAAAAAGTCTAACTTGAGGAAGCCAAATATGAAATCATTTGACATGTACTGCTTGATCTTACATCAGTTGGAAAATATGATAAGTTTGTTATAGTTATATTTTATCAACTGTATAAAAAAATAATTTAGGTGCTGACAAAAAAAGGAAATTAAATATATAAAAGATTATACAATTTATTTGTTTTCCTTTACATTTAAATAAAATGTAGTCCTATTTGAAAATATAGACTCACTGCAATTTGTGACTTTAAATTTACATATAATTATAACAAGGACTTATTGCATGGAAACTAGCAAAAATAGAATTGGCTAAATACTATTTTGGGCGGTGATTTCAAAAAATTGCATTAGAATATTTGAAAATCTTATCACCTAATGTTTCTTAGAAATAGATTTTTTCTTCTATATTTTGAGGGCCCATGATCATTCTGGCTCCTATGTTTCAGAGGGGTTCGCGATATAACTGCTTGGTTTTGAAGGGGATACTTCACTGGTTGCAAAGGCTACTCAGTAAAGTGTTATGAGCGGAGGGTTGGAAGACAGGAGGCAATAGACACAAATGTGTCAAGTACAGTCGCCTAAACAGTTGTGTTTGGAAGCTTGTTCCAGTCCCTTATTGTCTTTGGCAGGAATGTGGAGCTCCTGTACTAAGTTCTTGTTTTTATTAGAGGGACGAGTTTCTATTTAATGCTGGAGCAGTGAACCAGCCCATTTTTTTTATCTTATACATCATGGCGAGCCGGTATAGTCGTCGTCGTTCCCCAGTGTTTCCAGCATGCTGCCAACACTTGAGTTGTTTCTGTAGCGGTTCAGGACAAAGGGTGCTGCCCGTCGCTGGACCGTCTCCAACCTGTGGATGCTCTTCTGGGTGAATGAATGGGCCCCAGACTGAAGATGCGTACTCTGAAATCGGGTGGACAAAGGCTTCTTCTTTCACGCTTGAGTTGGCGATCTTCAGATTTCGCCTATACTTACCTGGGGATTTTCTCTTGACATCATTTAATTTTAACATGCCCTTCATAATCCTACGGGAACAAAATCCCAACGAGGTACCTTGTGGTAGTTTATTTTAGTTAAACTGAAGAAGTAAGTGTACAAACATACAAGTCCATTCAATTATCTTTCATTTGATACCTCATTTTGTCTTACAAACCCATCAATAATATTTGAAATAATTTTTTAGTCCCAACCTCTCACTTCTGGTACCCCGGTGCGAATAGTATCTTCAATATTTCCAATTACGGTGTGGCTATAGAGACCCGGGTTCCCTTAGATAAAATGGCTATTCGGACCCTGTTGGTCACGTGACGGTTATGATGGTTAATTGTTTCCTTTTGGTTGGCTTTTTAGTTTAATATATTATGGAAACATAAATTTACAAAACCCAAAATAGTATATATTTAATGTAAACAAACCACACAAGTTGTATCGTACACTGGTCACAGTACATTTAATGTTAGAAATTATAAAATATATACTTATACTACTCGTACTCATAGACATTTAAAAATATAAACTTTACTATATAATCCTAATACGCGTCGTGTAAACGTAATAATAGCAATTTAATATAAAATTATAAATTTAGTGAATAGTAGCATAAAGAATACTTCTTCAGATTGATTCAACAGATTAGCTACGCCGCTAGTGACCGTTGACGTTAATGATTAATGTTAGTAGTTGTGACCGTTGGCGTTAATGATTAATGTTAGTAGTTAGCAGAGGCGTAGCGTGGTGGGGGCAGGGGGGTCAGATGTCCCCGGGCGCCAAAATGTGCTTTGATATTATTTTATTGATGAAAATAATGGGTTTGAGAGTTGAAAAAAATAAAAAGGGGCGCTAAAATGGATCTTGTCCCTGGGCGCGAATCTTGTCCCCGGGCGCCAAACACCCTCGCTACGCCACTGGTAGTTAGAAGCCAACCTTTATTTAAATTCTTATCCTTTTATTTTAAGTTTTAGTTTAATCTATAAATATAAATTATAAACTCTATTCCATGCCTATGGCTATGGACATGGTTATGCGACATGACATGCGATGCGTGTCATGGCCCATGACAATGCTGACAATGGTATGGCCATTATGATAATACTTTTAATTTAAACTCATATCATTTAATTTTGATGATTTATAAAATACAATAATTGTTATTTTATAATATACTATACAAACTATACTGAATAAATTGAATAATATTAATGAACAATAAAAACGATCTGAATGTTGGCGTTGGGAGTTCTGAATATAATTATCTTAAATTTAAATTTTGAAAAAAATTTTTAACTAGAAGTGCAGCTCTGTACTCAGTATGCCTACTAAATGTATATATTTTACTTATTTATTTAATAATAATATTATTATGTAGCCTGGAATGAGCTTGGTAATAATTAATATGCCGGCACTACGTACATCGCGGCGGTGTACCTAGCGAAACTCTTGACTTTGGCCTAGTGACTATTGACACCACAGCGATTTAAAGTAGCGAAACCATGGTCTTTGCGAGTCTTTAACATTTTGGCCTAACCGGTTAATGTAGATTCAATGTTATACTCTAGTTAAAACTGAAAACTATTTCTTTAAAAATCGTTTAGTACCTTGGGAGGAAGATATTGAGTAAGTTCCACGCTTATGTGGCAAAGTACTTGTAGACTATTTCTTCTTATTTATTGGAAGGGAGGGGGGTGGGGGTGTAATGTTAAACCATGATTTATTTTTAAAGTTAACCACTTTATTTCCCCCATATATTGAAATACAAATGTATATATTAATTGGTGTAATTTTTATCCTATGATTGTGAATCTTAATAGGCATAGAAAGGGTAGCTAATTTGAAATTATCCCCCCCCCCCGGGTTGGTTTTTGGGGTGGGGGAGGGGGAGGCATTATATACATTTTTTTGCTGTTGTTTATTTCATAAATGTATTTTATTATCATGTCATGATTATGTCTCTTTTGATAAAATTTTTATGTACAGCGCGGTGAGTCCAGCCCTGGGCTGGGGTACCGCGCTATATAAGACCCCTTATTATTATTATTATTTTTATAAAATTGTATGTGATCCCTTGGGGCGTAGTGTAAAAATGAATGGGAAGCCAGTGTATCTATTTTGTTAGCACCAAGATATAATTTCGCCACATATACATTAGGGGAAGAGAATCACATAAATTGATCATGAAGTCGTGAAGTTAAAGTTGTCCGAGGCATTGTCATTGTGATATCAAGCGATTGTCAACACAAAACAACAGTATGATGATCAATACCAAACACTGCACTGATTTTTAAAAGTCTTTTAACAATAACTAAATATCATTGAATTAGTTTTACATTGTTATTACACATTGGTTAAAAAAAATTGCCGGCTGACATCAGCACCCCCTCCCTCCGAGTTGGGGGAGGGGGTGCAAAAGGTAAGTTTGTTGTGCCCACGTCCTTTGTGGACAACCCCTATCCAGAGCCGTGATTTGTGTAGGCCCTCTTTTTGGTTAAGCCTCTGCCCATAACTCACCTCCACCCCCAGCAAGGATCGATTTCTTAACACACAAAAAAACAAAAAACAACAAATAAAAAAAACTTTGAAATATCGTAAATCCTGTCCCAAACGCATTGTGCAATGGTTTCTATGAGAAAACGTCGTGTTTTACCTGAGAATAGCACATGCCATGCCATTATGGAAACAAAATCCGTAATGAACAGGGTAAACGCAGACCTATGGCTTTGCTATACAGTTTGCTACGGCGCCGTAAGGGGCCATCCATAAAAGACGTCCACAATTTTTTTGCTTATTTTTACCCCCCCACCCTTTTCCCCTTTGTCCACTTTTGACTTGACCCCCCCNGCAGGCAAAATTCTAAATGAAATAATAACTGTTCAAAAACATTTTATTGAATCACTGTATTAAAAAATGTAATAAACAAATAATCCACCATTGTTCAATCAACGGAAAATTCGGACTGCAGCCATTCAACACTTCTATTGTTGCCCACAGATACTACTTACCAGCTAAGTGCTATTTCTTATTTTTATTTGTATACCGTTTTTTCTGTTGTTTTGTTCGCTGACGAAGGCTTTCTGCCGACACGTTTGCTGTTTTGTTGCGTTTATTTTTTCAGGTTTAACCCTACTTTGTTTTACTCATTTTATTTAGCCATTCAAACATGTTTCGTATAATGACAACATCTGTTCTTGAGTCTTCAATTGCTCATTCAATTTGAGTAGTAGTCTCTTCGTCTGATTCGTCTGCCATATTATGCTAACTAGCAGGAATATTGCAAAGGACGACCTTATGTTTTTTCATTACCGCCTGTGATGGGACATATTTACCGCAGAAACATATTCTCTTGGAGATTCTTCCAGCCACCGATGGACAATAGAGATCGAAAGGCATGCTACTGTAACTGTGATCGGGCAGTAAATTTGCAGTAAATTTATGCAAAACTGCTGTACTCAAACAAACACTAAAATGTGGACATCCACTTTGTCCTAAACCCCCTCCCCCCCTTTGTCCACTTTTTGCAGACCCCCTCCCCCCTTTTGTGTGGACGTCTTTTACGGATGACCCCTAAGTTTCTAAAATCGTGGTGTTTTCAAAAGATTTGCTGTGAGACTGAGGGTTGTTTTTGAACCGTTGATATCGTGTGTACATTTTGCCAATGCATAGTGAACGCAAGATGGTTGAAATACGACCATGGACATTTTATATTCATATTGTTATTCATATTATTGATATACTGGTATTTTCTTTGGGTGTTCGTAAAAGTAAAATGTAAATATTCAACTACATGAAGAATGTTGAAATACAATAAAATATCACATATATTTAAATTGTTTAAATTGCTACAAAATATTTAAAAACTTCTCATGAAACTACTGTTGCAAATGAAAATGATAATTTAAATATAAAATACTTTTAATGAAAATGGGAAGAACAAAAAAAAACTAGATCCCCTACTGAGAAATGATCTCAGAATACAATATCGCCAAGCGTCCACTCTACCACTTGACCACACAAGGTCTTGTCTAACATGCATATTATCTTAAAACCAGGCCAATGGTACATTTTTGCCGCGGTGTACCCGGGCCAAATGCCCACGAGTTCGCTAGGTAGACCGCCGCGGTTTACGCAGACCAAAGCCGATGGTTTCGCTAGGTACACCGCCGCGGTGTACGCATCCACTTCGTAATTAATGTGGTAACTCTCTCATCTGTACCGGTACACGTAAATACTAATACTATATATTTACACCCCCCCCCCTTTTTTTAAGACTAAGATGCCTACAAGCCTCTACGGTTGTGGCTTTGATGGGTTCTCACAGCTGTCAAGTTTTCTTTTAACTAATTCTACCGGTACCCGTAAATACTAATACTATATTTTTACACCCCCCCCCCCCTTTTTTAAGACTAAGATGCCTACAAGCCTCTATGGTTGTGGCTTTGATGGGTTCTCACAGCTGTCAAGTTTTCTTTTAACTAATTCTGATAACTTATCAAGAAATGCAAAACCTGACCAAAAGAAAAGAAATGCTAAAATCATATGGCCAATACAACTCTTTCTAAACTTAAGTGACTCAAACACTGTTTACAGCAATGCTATAACATGGGCCCGTGTGGTTGTAACAATTAAAAAAGGTAACAAATCCATGTCTGTTTTTCCCATATAATACTACCTTAGAGGAGTGTAATTCCGCTATGACAAATTAAAAAAAGTTTAATTTTTGAAACTACATATTTTAAAAACTTTATCTTCCAATATTCAAAGCTTTTAAGCTCTTGACTCTTGCTTGCATAAAATAAAAGACGAATATTAATTATTAATTTTTTGTCTGTTTTTAAGAGCTAAATGGAAATATTTGGAGGTAATTACTTAAGCAAACTTAGAGAAATCAAGAACCTTTGGGGGAAATTACGGCTATTGACACCATTGTTGACATCTATGATTGCACCTTCAAAACAAGCCTCACTCTTAATAACCACTTGAGAGAATAGAGAAAATCATTATGAAATTATAACAATAGCAGACATACCTTGACTTGTAATTCTATAGTCTATATGTTGTAACAAAGCTGCATTTGGTTTTTTCTCAGATCAAAACAGTTATACATCATATGTAACAGAATTACCAGAGTCAGAGCAATGCCTTAGAGAGCAAAAAGATCAATCCCAACTTCTAAATGTTTTAGACCAAAGTATTGTTGTTGCTGCATCAGATAAAGATGTTGTTCTAAAAGAATCAGTAGATGCAAAAATAAATATTATTTTTAAAGATGATAACATCAATGCACAGGCTTTACAGATGGAGAACATTACAGAAGGAACCTCTATGAAACGGATTGTTCGTGGGGGACATAAGTATTTCTTCAGTGCATGTGGTTGGTATTAAATTGTGATAATTTTATGTGTTAGTCATTGCAGATAATGAGGCCTAAGAAATGTATTTATTTATGTGTCTTGGACAGCTTGAAGACATTTTTAGAGCTTTTTATATGTGCTTGAAGTTACAAGACATGTACTGAGTTCACCAGCATATAAATAACTTGAGAAAAAAGGGTTGATTTCATTAGATCATTACTAACAGAAATTCAGAAATGTCTACATTTGATGTAAATTACAGGAGAGTAAAAAAAATAGTTATTGATACCAGTTGTGTTTTTAATATTTTTAGATACTAAACTGGTGAAACTAAAAGCTTCAAAATGTACATCAAAATGTACATGTGATGAAGCTAATCTTGTGATGAGATTTGAGATTGATCCTATCATTATGGGAATTTCTATTAAAGATGTCAGCTGTGGAAAGGAACATGTCCTGCTTTTGGGAGAAAATGGATCTATCTATAGTTATGGTTTTGGGAGGTGAGCTAAATGTTATGTACATTAGTATAGCCCTTTTAAAATGTGTGGATTATCTATTTAAAATATCTGGATTCAAATTCAATAAATTGGCACATTGAAAAAAAAAATAAGGAAAATGTCTTTTAAAGTTTTGCATGAAATAGTAAAATGTTGAAACTTGAATCGGCTGATTAAAAAAAATATTCTCTGGACTATAAGAATATTAAGCAGACATGATTTAGGTGATATCGAAGGTGAGATTGGAATTCACACTTTCTTTTAGCCTTTTAACTTTTCAACTTTTATATCTGGGACGTTAAGTGATGAACTGTCACAGCTGGTACAGTGAAGAGAAAAGAGTAAGTCTAAAATCGTAAGGGATCCTTACTAAAGGCTGCTTCTGTTAAAGCCATCTGCATATTCATGTTGTTCTGCATATCAGTTTATTTTTTAAGTCTTCCAAAGTTTCATTTTCCTCATGCCTCCCTGGGAAGTGAGGTTGATGATATTCTAATAACATGACCAAGCCATCTTCAGTGGTGTGCCTGGATGGTCTCTGCCATGTTTTTCACCCCCAGTCAGCATCATAGTTATTCACTGGAGATTGTCTTTGATGAGACATTTTGAAGTTAATATTAATATGAGTTTGTATAGAGGTCTCCATTGAGATTGCTTATCCTGTGTATGTAACAGGTGGGTAGGGCTGGGTTGAGTACATCAGTGTGTCTATGTTTTGCCGAAACTTCATAGTGATTATTTTGTGTCTCCACCTTTGAATGAGGATCACGTAGATAAATATTAATTTGATCAATCAGTGGATAAAAATGATTAATATTTTTGAATATCCCTGACATCTTTTAAAATTTAATTTATACACATCAACCGTTTTTTTTTTGTCATGAACTGGGCAGGATTTATTTCATCATTACTCACTGTAAAAATGAAGACTGTAACTTGATTTTTATTTCAGTAGAGGACAGTTGGGGCATAACTCTGTAGAGGGGAATTCATCACCAACTTTGATAGAAGCATTAGATGGATTACAGATGAGAGCTATAGCTGCCGGAGGTTGGCATTCAGCAGCTATCTCAGGTTTGTGAAATGATTAGTTCCCTTGAACTGTTGATATCATCATCATTATCAGTGGCACTACAGCCCATGTAGGGCCCTGGCCTTCTTCACCACATCCTTCCATTCGGAATGATTCATTCGAATGATTTGATTAGAGATTATTAGAGATATAGAGTGTGCCTTTTTTTATTGTTGCGACTATGGGTGGGTCTTTGAACAGTTGTTATAGCTCTTGGTACGTACGGATTCTCCAGACACAATTTTTCTATCACTGGGCCATATATTTTTCTGAGGATTTTCCTCTCCCATGTATTAAGGAGGTTCTCTGCTTTTCTGGTAATGGTCCAAGTCTCAATATCGTAAGTTACTACTGGTCTTATTCTTATGATAGTGGTGTATATCTTTGTTCCCCTTGAGAGGTTTTTGCTTCCCAGTAGCGTTTGTAGGCTGAAATAGGAATGGTTGCCTGCTGTTATCCATTCTTTCACCTCCAACATTACTTCATTGTGCTCGTTTATAGTTGCCCCTAGATATTTGAATGTAGCCACTCTCTCAAATTTGTGGTTGTTTATATTGATGTTGTCATTAGCGTGGGAGTTTCCTGACATTATCATATATTTTGTCTTCGGTTCATTTACGTCAAGACCAGCTTTGACTGAGGCATTTTCAAGTTCCCTGAATGCTTTAATTATGTCATTACTGTTTCTACCCAGTAGCACTATATCGTCTGCGTATTCCAGGTACTGCAATGGCTGGCTATATAAGGTTCCTGATGGTTGTTGTTCTGTAATACCTCCCTGGAAGAAGCTTGTTATGGTTCCGCTGGTGCTCACATGTATGCTTCTAATAACTTTTTGTAGCGTGATGTTAAACAGGATACATGATAGTGAATCTCCTTGTCTGAGGTTCTGATTAACTGGGAACTCCTTTGAGTATTCTCCCTGCAACTTGATTCTACTTTTGGAGTTAGCCATCATTATATGCATGAGCCAAGTAAGCTTGTTAGGGACTCCAAGTTCTTCTGGAGCGTTGTATAAATAATTCCTGTCTATGCTATCGTATGCTGTTTTGTAATCCACGTATAGTTGGTGTATGTCGATAGGGGTCGTCCATTAATTACGTCAACAATTTTTAAGCAATTTTTGAACCCCTCCGCCCCCCTGTCAACAACTGTCAAACTTTCAATTACCCCCTTATTTAATTATGTCAACATTTTCTAAACCCCACTCCAAAAAAAAAAAAAAAAAAAACAGGAATTATATTATAAAGAAATTTATAATAATACATTTTACTTTGTGCTGATCTAATTTAATGACACAAAATTGTAGGAAAAACATTTCATTACATCTTTAGCTTGTTAATCAACAAGTTAAAAAGTTTTTACACTTTAATTTTATAATGCAGAATCAATTGAAAGGTTGTTAAATACTTAATATCATTGTTTGAGGTATAACTATGATTATTGTCAGTAAAGCTGACAATTATGGCATAGTTTCTAGCTGCTATCATCTTCCCAAGTAGTAGCCAGGTTTGCTCTATTGTTACAATTGGCATCAGGGACATCATTTTGGTAGGGCAGGGGTCATTTGCCCCCACCCCCTAATTTGGAGGTTTTATTAAAATTTCTATGTACTGTGACGCCTCCAGTAATAAACAACTTAACAAGCCGACCACGTTTTGTTTTGCACCCTCACCTCCTTTAAAAAAACATGAAATGGCGCCCCTATTAGGCATAGTCTATAGTAGCTGATTTATCTTTTACATCTTGCAGCCCTGATCCTCATCTAACCATTCAGCATTTAAAATAGAAGCAATATTCAGTATGAATTGCCATAAGCTCTATCTCCTTGCAACTACTCACATTGGTACTTTTTGAATCCTTTTTTGTTGAGGAGCAGGTGTTAATTTCTTATGCTCAAGAGGGCATTGTCGATGCTGTTGAACATGCTTTTTCAAAATGACTTTAAATTTTTTTTTTTTTCGTATTTGAGGTCCCACGATCAATGTATGGATTATTTTGGCTCCTGGTTTTAATTCAGAGTTAGCCTTCTCTTAGATGAGTTGCATTCCAAGGCTAACGAGTTCCATCAAGCCGGGGTGCTTGGGAATTTGCTTTGGGGGGGATTGAACTCCAGAACACCACTCTTTGGAGTAAGTAAATTTAGACCACTCGGCCACCCAGCACCCTTGTGATGCAAAATAGATGTTACAGATTTTGCAAATCCGTTCAAGCAAGGATGTTATTATTGTTACTCACTTTACATTCACCTAATTCTCAAAATATAGTATTCCTACGCTATCAATATCATTAATCTTGACTGAACATGAAACTTGAACCTTGTCCTTATTTCATACCTGCAACAGAATCTACAGGTGAAGAGAGGCCAACTTTTGACTTCTCTAGCACTAACAAAGTGTACTAACATTCTGACCAGCCATCTGCAGTGCACAGATTGACACACATTAAATAAATCTTATATTGTTAAAAGCCTAATATTATGACTATTTACACTCTTTTACACTTAGACTTATTATTTTTTTTAAATAATGTCATAACCAGTAAATTTTTAAGATTAAAATTTTAATATAGATTGTTTACGTCAACTAATCTAAACGCCTCTCCCTTCCCCTTGTCAACAACTGTCAAACATTTCCAACCCCCACCCCTATTTTGTTGACGTAATTAATGGACGTCCCCATATTATAATATTATACTTCTCCAGGAGACATCTCATAGTCTCATAGTAAAAATATGATCCGTGGTTGACCTATTCTGCCGGAATCCGGATTGGTAGTCCCCTAGGATCTGTTCACTATACCTTTCCAGTTTTCTTGCTATAAGTTTTGTGAGGATTTTGTACATTACATTAAGGAGGGAGATTCCTCTGCAGTTTGAACAGACCAACTTAGATCCTTTTTTGTGAATTGGGATTATGAGTGTTCCATTCTATTATTTCTATTGGCATTTCTTCCTCCTGCCAGATTCTGGATATGAGGTCGTGTATTTGCCTATGAAGTTCGTTAACACCTAGCTTTATCAGTTCTGCAGAGATAAGGTCTATTCCTGGGGCTTTGTTATTTTTCATGGTGAAGATGGCATCTTTTATTTCATTTAATGTTGGTTGGTTGACCAGTGGGTCCGGTCCTCCTTTTAGTAGAGCGTAATCCTCAGAGGTTCCTCTACCTGAGCCATTCAGAAAGCCTTTAAAGTGTTGTGCCCATCTCTCTAGAACTATACTGCTCTCTGTGATCAATTCTCCATCCGTAATTTCACACTTGTGGGATCTTGCTTGAAAGCCATTCTTTTCCTGCTTTATCTTCAGGTACATTCCCCTCACATCTCTTTCTTTTGCCAACTCTTCTATCTCTAATATTTTTTATTTTTACCAAACATTTTTTGTTTCTGCAAATTTTGCTAGCCACCCTTCTTATGTCATTAAATAATTGGGTATTATCGGCTTAAATCTCATCGTTTCCTCTGTTACACTCTTCTGTTTCCTCTTTTCCCATTTCTCGTTTATATCAACGTTGCTGGCTGATTCCCTTTTAGATAATTCTAGTTGAGTTTTAATCTTCTGCTGATATTCCTCAATAATTTTTGGGTCCCTGCTTAATTTCTGGCTGTTGTACTGTTTTTCTTTTTTCTTTTGTTTATTGTTGCTGTTACAAATTCATTTTTTATATTTGATTCTTACAAGTATGTGGTCTGAGTCTATGTCCACCACTCTACAGCTTTGTACATCTAATATGTCAGAGCCATGCCTCCAGTCAATGAGTATGTGGTGAATTTGATTACAGGTAAATCCATCTGGAGATATCAATGTCGCTTATTTATTTGTTTTTGTTGGAATACTGTGCTTCTGATTGTTATTCCTTTTCTATAAGATGTGTTCTGTTCTCATTGCTCTCATCATGCAGACTTTCCTTTCCGATTGTTGGTCTGTAAGCATGTTCTTTCCCAATTTTTGCATTAAAATCCCCAAGTACTATTTTGGTGTCATGGCGTGGTGCCTCATCAAATACTCTTTCCAGTGTTTCGTAGAAAGTTTCCTTCATGCTTTCATCAGTATCTTGCGTTGGTGCATGTGCGCAGATTAACGTGGTGTTAAACATTTTTCCTCTTATCCTCATGGAAGTCTTTCACTCGCTGGTTTAAACCAAATGACTGCATTTACTCTTTGACTGCAAACCCTGTGTTGTATCCACTGTAGAATATTGTATACTCCTTAGTACTTAGGATGTCTGAGTCTTTCCATCTGATCTCCTGCAATGCCACAACCACGATTCTATATCTTAACAATTTGTCACTAAGGCGGGCCCATGCTCCCGCTCTGTATAGACTAAGTACATTCCAGGTCGCTATCCTTAAGTCATATTTTTGTTCAGGCATGGGTCGAAATCCAAAATTATCTGTTTTTCTGTATGTGGTTTAGCTTTCTTAACACTTGCTTTTTTACGTGACAGGGTCCTTAGCCCTGCGCACAACTGTCTGGGGGGATGCCTCTTGCAACTCTCAGGGTGGCTGCCTTTGTAGTGGGTTGGGTCCCTAGCCTATGTGGCAATAGGTACTGATTTTGATCCGCACCCAGGTATTTTATTTCCCCGGTACCCACCATATCTGGTGGGCTTTCCCCTATCCGCCACCTGGGGAGGCGCTTGATAGAAAATCAGTATCCCCTCACGAGGAACTGTTGATATAATCAGTTATTTCTATAACCGTATAACTATTTGTATCTATATATATAATTTGCCAGAAACTAGGGCACAAGACCAAGACAACCACGCAGGCTATATATAGATATGCCAGAGCAAGCAAGACGCAGGCAAACCCTTCTCTCCCATCCCTTGCCTGCCCATCATTGGTCTCGAGACATGCGCACTGCGATGGAGCTAACGCCCCCCCCCTCCTGCACCACCCTCGCTTGCCAGCCAGTTTGCGGCTTAGCATACGCTGTGGTTCGGCGTGAAATAAAAAGTGTGCCGTGACGTATCATGAAAAGGGGGCGGGGGGAAGGGGTGTAGCAACATTGGCATTCTTAAATGTGCGTAACCTGAGTTCAAGTTTTTTGTCAAGTAACTTAAGTAGATGGGAAGTTCATGCATTGCTACCGCCAATGTTTGGCCGGCTATAACTAGTTCTTTATAATTTTATATACACAGAACTATTATAATTTAGATTTCTTCCATCCTATTCTTTTTTTTTATTTTCATAAAATAATTGCTATTGTACCATAATAATATATGTTGCTGATTTTTATTTCGTGTAACTTGCAGACATTGGAGACCTTTACATGTGGGGCTGGAACGAAAGTGGTCAGTTAGGAATTTCACTTGTAAAAAATGAGAGAAATAATAGTGGCAGCCTATCAGTATCATTTGACGAGACGGTCCATGTGCAGGCAGAGCCACATTGTATTGCAATGAATGAAGAGTTTAATGCAGTAGCTGTGGCTTGTGGCGCCAGACATACTGCATTTCTTTCAGGTAACTTTCTATCACTTCATTATGAAAAGTGCTATTTAAAATGATAACTCCTGTGTAATGCAGCTCTGGCATAAAATAATGTACATACATCTTTTTTTGAAAAGACAGTAAGTTTCATATTTTTTTCATAGCACACATTCTTATATTTATTTTTTAAGATGCACAAAAGCTTAGAAATTTTTAGTGAGGAATTTTTTTTTTATTATTCCTTTAGCTTCACTGACTGTAAATGACTATGCAAGTAGGCAAATCAGTTATCAGTTTTTGTTGTTCTATAAAACTAACATGTATTCTATAAAACTGCATTAATGTATTTTTACAGATGATGGGAAAGTTTATGTGTGTGGCTGGAATGATTATGGACAACTTGGGCTTGGTCACTTGGAGTCACAAAGGAAGTTCACTGAAGTAGAGGCATTACAAAAACTCAAATGTGTTCACATATTTGCTGGACAATGGAATACATTTTTTGTATGTGAAATCAAGCTTAATGATAAAAAAGTCAAATTTTAGAATGAACACAAATATTAACTCAAAGAGGGTATCAAATGAAAGCCTTTATATCCATAAATATACATGAATTGCAGAAATAAATCTAATTTTCATACCCCTTATCCTTTTAATTTAAGACAAATCCAATGTGCTATTGTACAAATACATACCTGACTACACCAAAAGCGTAAAATTGCCCTGATAAAATGTTCACTTATTTATAATAGTAATAGATAACTCATTTAAAAAAAAACATCTGTTGGAATTTGAAGTCAGAATGAAAGTTATTATTTTCATTCTCAGCCAGGGGAACAGAGAATAATTCAAGATTTCTTTTATGTTTGTTAAGAAGTAAACATTAAGGTGTCAGGGAAAGTATATACTTATATTATTTTTTTAATTTTGCTAAGATTCTAAGTCTGTGAATACTGTCATGATTCTTGTTTATGTATGCATTTGTTAAGACACGTCACACATAAAATCGCTTTTTTCCAACATAAACCCACCTGACAGTGCAGAAATAATGTAGTCTATGGATGAAAATCTCCATTTTTAAAACATCAATAGTATGTATCAAGGCAAAATAGAAAAATATTGTAATAATAGGCAATACTACATTGCTACCAACTTATTGTAGTTTTGAAATAGTTAGCTTCTGGTAGCATACTGAACATTAACTTAATATGAAGGAATATAAAATAATTCACATGATAATATCAAAGACATGCCTCATTCAAATAAACAATTTTATAACTCCCAAATAGATGACTGTCAACTTGTTAGGAGACCATGTGCAAATTTAATGAATGATATATTTAAATGATGTAAGTCAGAAATAAGGAAACATAAAAAGTCTGAGGTTTGTGCTCTGGCAACTGTAAGTCAAAATTTTATTTCACTGCATCTACAAACTTTAGATGTTTTTGTCATTCCAGACAGCATAATTCTTTGGCACATGAAAAAGGTTTTACTTTTAGGTTTTAAACTTTATCCCGTTTTTATTTATTTGTGACCTGCAACCTGGAATTGGCACATGTTTGCCATAGTTAAGTCTAAGTAACCTGTTTTTCACATTTAAAGTATTAAAAAATCGATGATTACTGTACAATAAATCACCAAGTGTGTGTAGGATAATAATAATGACAACAAAAAAAGTTTATACATGGCAATGTCTCTCATGTTCCTTTACTATTTTTAAAAATTCATTGAGCCTTCACCCTTTTTTCATGCAAAAATCTCAAAACAACAGGTTTTCAAGGATCTTAGGCAACATAAATAATTGTCTGGACTGTGAGGAAACCATTGCTCCCCAAGAACATGTGTAACGTACAGTTAACCACTGAACTATGACAAATAGTAGAGAAAAGCTGTGGCACTTTTTTTTTAAATCACGGTTTACACTTACAGTGACTTTGTTAAATTTCCATTGCGAGTTAAAATTTTAATTGTTTATAGGTAAATTGAAACTGGTCATGGTTGGGGGTTTCTAATTTTCTAATGGGGGTGAAACAGGGCAGGAGCATAAAAATTTGGAATTTTTTTTTGCTAACATAATATATCAATGACTCCCATAAGAGACAGTATGGATTAAGAGACTTGAATTTTTTTTACTGGATTGTGCACACCACACATATGCAGTGTTTCTTGCAGACATATTAGGTGGGGGGGGGGGGGAATTAACCATAGACATAGCTAAGGGGTGGCAGATGAGAGATATGTTGCGGTGTACCAGATTAGAGGGGGCACCAAAATGGGCTTTGATGGTATTTAATGGTTGAAATAATTAGTTTCAGAGTGGTTGGGGGGTGGGGCAAGTAAAAAAAATCTTCAAAGTCTTTAAATTTGTGAAGTTGCAAACAAAATAAATGAATAAAAATACTGATATGTTTGAACGAGACGCAAGCCTTTGGGTTATTATCAGTAGCACCCAATACAATATTTATAGTCAAATACTGTAAACCTTTAACAAGATTAGCCTTAAAGATACGGATCATCAGATATATCAAGTGTAGCAATATTTCATATATTTCACTAATTGTAATAGGTTCAAGGCACCAGATACTATTCTTTTTAAAACTGTTTAAAAGTGACCATTTAGTCATATTTAATAAAGAATATATCATTGTCATTGTATTACTCTCCCCAGAGAGATGCCTGGAAAAATCCCTGAACTTATGTATGATGCAATTTTTCAAACATGAAAACATCTAATGGCATTTAAAATATTGAAGAGAAGTAGACTAATGTAACTTTTCAATTTAAAAACAAAAATCTTGCTTACATAAAATAAGTAGGATGTAAAAAAATGTCTTTCTTACACAAAATAAGTAGGGTGTAAATAATGTAATCTAAACTATTTTTATGCCCAACTAAACTAAGTTAATATACTGAATGTAAAAATAAATGTGTATTCATTTATGAGTTTTTCTTGTAGATTTCCCATACATCCTGAACATCTTCTTTTGAGCCCATAAAAACTGCACATCTTTCATGAATGTCTTTAGGTACAATCTCAAGAATACGCTGTTTGCCGTCTATAGCCAATCCTCCAGCTTGCTCTATGATGTAAGCCATTGGATTGCCTTCATACATGAGTCGAAGCTGGTGAATTATTAAAAATCAATCAGAAGGTGCAATAATTGAGAGGCTTTTTCAGGAGAATGATATTTAAATTGAAGCTTTGAAAGTTTTAAAATACAAATTAAATAATAAATCAACAGTGCCTTTCAGAATTCAAAAAATAAAACAGTTAATCAAAAGATATGCTCATTAAAAATAGCTCAAATAAATAAGTTCTATTAGAAGAGCTTTTGAGAAACTTAGTGATTGTAGGTAATTTAAAAACTATTTGCTTTGCATTCTGTCAAAACAAAACCATAATCTGAAGGAAAAAAAATTATTCCGTTACTTCCACAAAAAAGTTCAGAACAGACTGAAAGACAAGGGTTTAGCCTATTTTTGACAAGGATTGCTTTTATATAGATGAGTTGATATTTTAAAATAAAACCATATAAACAAATCATTTATTTGTATATAATCAGATTTATTTTCTTTCTAATGTATAAAAAAATCTGACTTTATTTTTCAAACAGATCATTTAAGTTTAAGCTTCCTCCTCCTCTGTTGTTCCTATCATAGGACCACAACTATTTTCCAGTCTTTTTATTACAACCTAGATAATCACGCACAAACTTATTTTCATGAAAATATTATTTACTACTTTTGGAAAAGCACGTGCCCATACGAAACGATAATTTAGAAAAAAACAACAGAAGGTTTTAGTACTGGGTATAATGCAGCCGTGAGAACGCTGCCCCTAGGCAACCGTTTCGTCCCAGCTACAGCGTGAACTAGTCGCGTTGTGGAAACCCACTGTGGAATCCCTCTTATAGGGCGTCCGACGCTTTCCCGGGATGGGTGGGGGAAGATATTAGGACGTAAATTTTTCCATCCCAACTCCTGAGAAAGTCGATCGAGTGCACTGTTTAAACGCATAGTGTCGGATCGACCAGATGCCTCCTGGTCGGGGCGGCCCCCAGGCGGTGTCCTGGTCGAGCGCCCAGGCGCCCAGGCGGGGGACTTGGGTGAGGGGCCCGTGTGGGGGCCGTCCTGACGAGTGCGCATCTCCAACGTGCACTCCGCGGCCCGATACGTCGGACCGGGGAGGGGTAATTTGGGAAGGGGGGGCATAAGAGTTTAGACTCGCCCCGCTGACGCCATTTCTTAATGTAACATGAACTGAACAATTCAATTCTTTTCATGAACTGAGCAGTTTGATTCTTTTCATGAACTGAGCAATTTGATTCTTTTCATGAACTGAGCAATTTGATTCTTTTCATGAACTGAGCAATTTGATTCTTTTCATGAACTGAGCCGACCGAATCCTCTAAACATTACATGTTGACTTGTGAGCCTCTAGCACGTGATGGGATTTTGCGAAGATTATCAGCTTAAATAAAGGGCTTTCTTAGAGCTTCCTCTACCTTTTTTCTTTTTTTTAGTAGGGGTGGGGTTGTTGTAAAAACCATAAAATCCAGTTCCGCTGACCTCCCCATGGATTTATGAAGCTGTAGCCCTTAAAACAGCACCAGGCTGTACATGCTGCTACTTAAAGATGTTTCAGCTGTTGAAATACATGATGAAATAGTGTTGAGGGAAGCTGTTCTCTGAACTCGTAGACAGCGGGAATTATTGTATTTGATTTTATTATTGACATAGAAAGAACGACTTGAGCTCGACGTACCTATGCCAAGGAACCCTCACCATAACCATATTTACTGACCCTAAATGATACCCTCAAAAACCAAGTCATTTATCAATAGGAATTTTCGAGCTGTGGTTTCCCCTCCCCCCTCCCCCCGCCCCCTTTGCGAGTAGCGTGAACTCTGATCTCAATTCATTACCGGAAAGGGTTGGCAGAGTTATGAAAGGGGACATTTCCTCTAAACGCAATTAACGCCCCTAACACGATACCCCTGTGGTAGTTAATTGAATGACGCCTGGGGCGAGATGACGCCAAATACCGTGCTGGGAAGCTTTATTGCTTCATTAGGCGGAAATATTCCGACAGCTATATTTATTGCTGATGGCAAAAGTGCATTCCCATACTTATACGTTTAGGTGGGGCAGCGGCGGAGGGAAGGAGGGGGTGGGGGTTGAGCACCGGGCAGGTGACCCTCTTCATTTCATAAAATACAAACACATTTATATTGATGATTACTGTTTTTGATCTCCCTCCGGTACTGTAATTGTTTATTAGTTGTTTTTGTCATGTGGAGAAGGCTGGGATACGCGTATGAAATCTGTTAGTTAACCTGAATTGAAAACATCCAGTGACCTGAAATAGCTTTACCCGTCCGATTTTAGATTATGCATCTTCAGTCTGGGACCTATTTACCCAGAAGAGCATTGACAGGTTGGAGGCGGTCCAGCGACGAGCAGCTCGCTTTGTCCTAAACCGCTACAGGAATACCTCTAGTGTTGGCAGCATGCTAGAAACACTGGGCTGGTCACCATTGGAGAAACGACGACGACAATCCAGGCTCTCCATGATGTACAAGAAAA